ACCACCCCCACCAGTGCTGTCTTCTCTCAAACTTGTAACAACACTCCTGTCCCCACCCCCATGAGGAAGGAAAGCGGGAATAGAAACAATAGCGAGGCCAACTCCACATGGTAAACCTAAATCTTCTATCTCTCCATGCTTGCCAGACACTGCAAGGACATGGTTCTAATGACTGTGTAAATGCGCGAGCATCTCCTTGCTGGTAGTACCAGTTCACGCATCTAAGCCTGTGGTCCTCTTCTCCTCGTGAGTCTTCAAGACGAATGAATACTCGTCCTTGCATTCCATTCCCGGTAGCTTGAATGGTTTGGCTGTCAGGGGATTTGAAGACGTTCAATCCTTCTATCTGGTCGATGTCGACGACCATTACGTCACCAGAACTATAGAGTAAGATAATGATAATCATCATCACCATCATCACTATCATCACTATCATCACTATCATCATCGTCATCATCTTCACTGTTATTTTCATCATTATCACCATCATCATCACTATCACCATTATCATCATCATCATCACTATCATCATCATCTTCACTGTTATTTTCATCATCATCACCACCATCATCGTCACCATCATCCCCATCATTAACATTATCATTAACATCATCATCATCACCATCATCATCACCATCAACAACATCACCATCATCATCATCAGAGTACTTGTTGTGTCGTATTTTAAGAGCAGAATACTTATGAACAACTCTTAAACGACTTCCCGCTCGTCCTCACTGCCACGGCGTTTACTTGTCGTGTATCACCGACTGACTATTCCTACTGGTTGACTATGTTTCTTCTTTTCATAACCAAAAGAATGTCATATTCACTCACCGTGGATGATCGTAGTAAATGTCATTCCCATGTCCTGCATTGAAGCCCACTACAGGAAGACCTTTGGAGTTATAGTACCTGCCATAATCCTCTCTGTTGATAAAATACGATAAAAAATGTTGATAAAAATTTTTTCACGAATTTTGTTACTAAGTCAAGGCTTATTAAAGCAAGTTGAGATTGGGTCGATGCTATTCCTCTCATATCCAACTGGATCTCAGGACACTTCTAATAATAATACCCACTATCCCTGTGTGCCATTCTCATGCATTGACCCTGCGCTTTGTATACAGACTGCTTAGCGGYGTAGATCCTTWMCGCAATGGTRCACTCCCCTAACTTACTAAGAGATACTTRCTAGCTCTCCTTAACCAGGCTCACTGGAGGTGAGCACAAAGCGTAAGGAAGGCCTCGGAGAGAAGCGCGAGGCGAGCGCAAGGAAAAACACGAGCTTTTTTACGAAATGGGAAAAGATTTAAAACACGATACCTTTCAGCAGGAACAGACCACTGGATGCCATTTTTAGGATAGTTATACATGACGAAGGAGTATACATTGTTTGTTATGAGGACGGCCTGGAATGTGTTGTTCTTTAAAATAAATCACAAAAAGGAATTACAATCAGTGTATCATTTGGAGTAACAGATATAGTATTATGTAAGGGGTTCGGATGCAGAATCCATGCGGGGACGACACACTTCCCTCACGCATGCGTGACAGCCCTCTAGAATGATTTTTGGGACATGTGCCACGCTAATATGTATAAATGCTGAAAGTATAAGCTCAAGTCCAATGAAGACGAAAGTGACGAACACTGCCTTCCATCCACTTGAACCTTTCTAATTCAATTAGAATTTGCGTGACTGCGCGAAACTCCAGGCATCATGGTGTGGATATTAACAGTGCGTTTGAACCAGTCACTGCGCACGAAATAATTATTCATCCAATGAAAAT